AAGGACCAGGCAGGACATGATGTGAAAGACCTCCGCTTGAGACCCTGGAGAGCTGTAAAGAGGGGCTGTGGCTCAGTGGAAGAGCCTCTGCTTGGCATGCAGAAGGCCCCAGGTTCAATCCCCAGAAGCATCTCTAGTTAAAAAGGACCAGGCAGGAGGTGATGGTAAAGACCTCCGCCTGAGACCCTGGAGAGCTGTAAAGAGGGGCCGTGGCTCAGTGGCAGAGCCTCTGCTTGGCATGCAAAAGGCCCCAGGTTCAATCCCTAGAGCCGCTGCCAGTCTGAGTAGACAATACCGACCTGGATGGACAAAGGGACTGATTCAGTAAAAGGCGGTTTCATGTGTGTTCAGTACAAACAGCCAAGCTGCACAGAGGGGAGAAGGACAGGTCTTGGGGATGACAGACCCCTGTAGTGGAAAACGCTGCCGGCCAAACCGGAATCTAAGCGTGGACTTCAGTTAAGCGTAAATGCCAGGTGTCACGGCACCCTGAATCGGACCCAAGTTTGCAAAGGGTAACAGGATGCAACTGCAGAGGGGACTCCTGGCCAGTCTGCAGCCGTGAATTTGTGGCTCCTTAAAGATAAATGAATCCAGTTTGGCAGAGACCATATCCGCCCATGTTAGGGAGGGGGCTGTGGCTCAGTGGAAGAGCCTCTGCCTGGCCTGCAGAAGGTCCCAGGTTCAATCCCCAGCATCTCCAGATAAAAGGACCAGGCAGTAGACAGAATCATAGAATGTTAGAGTTGGAAGGGACCTTGCACGTCATCTAGTCCAACCCCCTGCACTCTGCAGGAACATGGCTGAAAGATAGCCCTACATACCTAAAACATACCCAAAAGATGGTCGTCCAGCCTCCGCTTGAAAACGCCCAGTGAAGGAGCATCCACCGCCTCCTGAGGCGGTCTGTTCCACTGCTCAACCACTCTTACAGTTAGGAAGTTTCTCCTGATATTTAGCCAGTATCGACTCCCTTGTAATTTCCACCCATTTGTTCTAGTCGCAAGAGAGAGTAGATCTGCTCCATCCTCTACGTGACAGCCCTTCAAATACTTGAAGACTGCAATCATGTCCTCTCTAAGTGAAAGTCCTCCACCTGAGACCCTGATGATATGACGATATGGACCCTGATAGACTGGTGGTCTGATTCAGTCCCAAGTAGCTTCATACCATCATAAGAATGTAAGAGAAGTCAAGGTTGGATCAGGCCAGTGGCCCATCCAGACCAACACTCTGTATCACACAGTGGCCAGAAATACCAGTGCCATCAGGAAGTCCACCAGTGGGGCCAGAACATTAGAAGCCCTTCCACTGTTGACCCCCCCCCCAAGCACCAAGAAGACAGAGCATCACTTGCCCCGGAGTCCCTATCTATACCTTGTGGCTAATAGCCACTGATGGACCTCTGCTCCATATGCTTAATTCCCTTTTGAAGCCGTCCATGCTTGTAGCCGCCACCACTTCCTGTGGCAGTGAATTCCATGTGTGAATCACTCTTTTGGTGAAGAAGTACTTCCTTTTATCCGTTCTAACCGGACCGCTCAGCAATTTCATGGACTGCCCACAAGGAGTTCTTGTATCATGAGAAAGGGAGAAAAGGACTTCTTTCTCCACCTGCTCTATCCCATGCATAATCTTATAAACCTCGATCATGTCACCCCTCAGTCGTCGTTTCTCCAAGCTAAAGAGCCCTAAGCGCCTTAACCTTTCCTCATAGGGAAAGTGTTCCAACCCTTTTATCATTCGAGTTGCCCTTTTCTGCATCAAAAGCATGAAGAAGCACAAAACTGCCCACTATTGTTTTGGTGGGTTTTTTTAAAATCATCTACGAGTTCTTCATTATTCAGGCATCCTGCTCTGTAAACGGAACTGGATGCGTGCAAATTTGATACTTCCCCTTGGCGACGTCTACGGCTAAAGGAATTCCAGCAATTAGCTACGCTAAGAGTACAAAGCATGAAGAGCTGCCAAACGAACCCTGGCTACCGAGGACACGAGGGTTTACTGTCGCGTTATTTTTTACGACGTTTTGATCCCACCCTTTCCTACGGGGAGCTCAAAGAGGTGTTCGTGGCTCTCTCTGCCTCTGCTTTACCCTCTCGACAACCGTACGAGGCGGGTTACGTGGGAAGACGGCGACCAATGTTCCCTCTAAACTGTGGGGTCCTGTGAGCAAAAATTCTGCTTTGTGAGCTCCTGGCATTAAAGTTGTGAGAGGGCGATTTGGCTGCTACATAAATGAGTTTGCTCTGGATCCATCCTTCCTGAGCGGAGACAAAAGTGTGTGAGCCGGAGGCTAAAGAACCGTAAGCTAGCTCACACTAACTCAGCTTAGAGGGAACACTGACGGCGACTAAGCTAAGGTCATTCGGTACGGCTGCCAACCTCCAGGTGCTGCCTGGAGGCCTCCTAGTATTACAACTGATTGCTAGATGACAGAGACCAATTCCCCAGGAGAAAATGGCTGCTCTGGGCGATGGACACTAGGGCATTATATACTAATAAGGATCCTCCCTCCCCCAAACCCTGCCCTCCCCAGACACCAGTGTTCCCTCTAAGATGAGTCAGTATGAGCTAGCTCACAGTTTTTTAGCCTCTGGCTCACATTTTTGTCTTAGCTCAGGAAGGAGGGCTCCAGAGCCAACTATGTTATGCAGCAGCCAAGTCGCTCGCTCACAATTTTAGTGCCAGTAACTCACAAAGTAGAATTTTTGCTCACAAGACTCCACAGCTTAGAGGGAACATTGCTGGACACCACCCTCAAAATCTCCGGAAGCAATTTTTCTCCAGGCCATTTTGGCTGGAGATCCTGGAGGGTTTTTTGCCACCTTCTGGGCGTGGGTGGAGCAGGGGTCACTGGAGGTGTGTGGGGGGGAGGTATTTGTTAATTTCCTGCATTGTGCAGGGGGTTGGACTAGATGACCCTGGAGGTGCCTTCCAACTCTATGATTCTAGGTATTTCCAAACCCAGAGCTGGTAACCCTATCATGCACTGAGCTTCGCAACAGAGGGGGGATTTGAACGCATATCTCCCCGTTTCCAGCCCAACACGCTGAGTGCAACGGCGCTTACCGGGCTCTAGGGGGAGCTCTGTGTGCCCGTTCACCATCCCGTTCATCAGCTCCGCCTCTTCCAGCTTCACCTGCGTGGGAGGATGCAGCCGTAGCTCTTCCTGGATTTTTTCCAAACTGAGCTTCGTGGGGGCGCAGCTGGTGTAGTTGAAGCGGCTTTTGACTTTCTGAATGACGTTGTCTGCAACGGAGGAGGCAAGCGACGCTGATGTGACATTTCAAGGTGTTGGCACTTACCTTTGAAGCCCTACAGGGCCAGGGGCCAGCATACCTTCAAGACCACCTCTCCCCATAGTAGCCCTATAGAGCACTACGGTCGACTAAGCAACATCTCTTGGTAGTCCCCGGCCCCAGGGACATCCGACTTTCCTCAACTGGGGCCAGGGCCACCCTACCTGGTGGAATGAGCTCCCAAGTAAGATCAGGGCCCTGTGGGCCTCTACGACAGAGCTCTTCCACCAGCGGCCTGGATCCTAACATCTTAAAATCTTCCACCACTGTCGATATGGTTTTATCAGAGCTGACACAGGACGGCAAAGGATGAGATGGCGGGACAGTGTCATAGATGCAACGAACATGAAATTGAGCCAACTTCAGAGGACGGCGGAAGACAGGAAGGCCTGGCGTGATCTGGTCCATGGGGCCGCGAAGAGTCGGACTCGACGGTGCGACTGAACAACAACAAATCTTATAGTAAAGGTCAAGGTTTCCCTCACTCGAAAGCCAGTCGGATCCGACGCCAGGGTTGCGGTGCTCATCTCCGTTTCCAAGCCGAAGGGCCAGCGCTGTCCGAAGACGTTTCCGTGGTCATGAGCAGTGTTCCCTCTAAGCTGAGTTAGAGTGAGCCAGCTCACAGTTTTTAAGCCTCCAGCTCAGATTTCTGTCTCCGCTCAGGAAGGAGGGCTCCAGAGCTTAATAAATGAATTTACACAAAAGTAAGTCAATCTTCACTGAAGATGATATTCATGATGTCTTTTATAGTCGATGAACAGGTGGACAGAAGACAGACGAACTTCTCGAGTAAATGCCCGTTTCGAAGAAGACTTATTAGTCCATTGGAGAGTTTTGTATGTAGCTGCATAGCTCATGGAAAAAACAGTTTGATTTAAAGACTTCATCGTCATCTTCAGTATATTTGGATGCGAAATTATTGAGAAAGACACTTCGAAACGGGCATTTACTCGAGAAGTTCGTCTGTCTTCTGTCCACCTGTTCATCGACTATAAAAGACACATCATGAATATCATCTTCAGTGAAGATTGACTTACTTTTGTGTAAATTCATTTATTGTTTGTGCACACTTGCAGCAATCTTTGGGTTTATATGCAGTATGGTTGCCAGCTTTGGGTCGGGGAAGTTCCTGGAGATTTGGGGGAGTGAGTTAAAACAAGTATAAAGCCAACAGTCGTGATAGTCTGACCCACAATCAAACAGTCACAAGACTTATAAAGAATGCTGTTTATGTATTGCAATCTAAAGCACTACAACATGATACACAACTCAATAGAAAATCCTTGAACCAAGGTACATAATCACATAATCAACGTCGTCTCCGGATTACATTACGACGTTTCAAAAAAAAGTGATCTTCTTCAGGAGATATTCTGTAGTGTACAAAAATACAATTTTTAGAATATGTGCTACACCAATAACAAGAGACAAGAGACAATACAATAATCTTAGTGCTTACTTACATAGTGGTGCCAAAGCTCTCAGTTTCATTTTTTTTTAAAGCTCTCAGTTTCATAAATGTTAGACAAGTCTTAAGAATCTGTAACATAGTAATACTACCTTTGTTATGAACACATACAAGATATTTCAAATTACAACTAATAATCTGTTACCCGAACTGGACCTAGTAGTAACTTACATTAAATTCAGATAGGACGCTGATCTCAATTAACATTCAAGCTCAAAATATGCTGCTATGTTTCTATTGTCTCTTGTTATTGGTGTAGCACATATACGACGTTGATTATGTGACTATGTACCTTGGTTCAAGGATTTTCTATTGAGTTGTGTGTCATGTTGTAGTGCTTTAGACTGCAATACATAAACAGCATTCTTTATAAGTCTTATGACTGTTTGATTGTGGGTCAGACTATCACGACTGTTGGCTTTATACTTGTTTTAACTGCCTGGGTCGTGTGTGTCCAGATTTGGGGGGTGAAGCATAGGTAAGGCAGGATCTGAGCAGGGGAGGGGGTCTCAGCGGGATATCATGCGACAGAGTTCACCTTCCAGATCGGCCATTTTCTCCAGGGGAATCGGTCTCTATAGTCAGGAAGTTGGAATTCAGGGGGGTCTCCAGGCCTCACCTGGAGGTTGGCAACCTTATCTCACAGTGTTGAGAGGATAGTGACAGTATTAAAGCAAGTCCAGAAAATGATCCAAAAAACCCCGGAAACCTGTATGCGTACTGCGCTTACAAAAATAGCTTAAGTAATTAAAGTGACAGTGTAATAATCCAGAGTGCGAAAAGACACACGATTTAACATTTCACAAGGTAAGTACAAAAATAAGTAAATTGATGAGATGCGAACGATGATCTCCGGAATGTTCAACTGTTTCGATAGTCATCTTCTTCCGAACAAAGATGAAGAGTATGCAGCGTCTCTAGTCAAGGTCTCAACTAGTACATATCAATAAGTCTCACTGAAGTGTCATGACATCATTGTATTTGAGCTTCAGTTTCATTATCTGGCCTTCCAGGGAACAGTCAGGGTTGATTTCTTTTAGGATTGACTGATTTGATCTCCTGGCAGTCCAAGGGACTCTCAAGAGTCTTCTCCAGCACCATCGTTCAAAAGAATCTATTCTTCGGCGCTCGGCCTTCCTTATAGTCCAACTCTCGCAGCCATACATGACTACTGGGAATACCATTGCTTTAACCATGCGGACTTTTGTTTAATTATTTATATTTATTTATTTATTGCATTTTTACCCTGCCCTCCCCGCGAACGGGCTCAGGGCAGCTTACACAGGCGCATAAACCCATACATAAAAACAATATAAAACAGTAAAAACTATTACATCACAACAAAACAAATAAAGTGCTCCATACACACAAGATGGGTCTCTGAGGATGGTATCGATCATTTCCTTAGGGTGAAATTGTCCTGTCGATGGTCCAAGCCAGTCCAGCGGCATCAGTGCCATGCAAATTTATGGCAGTTCTTTCGGGGACCGCTCCCAACCCCGTTGTTTCAGTCACGGTAGTAGTAGAAGTGGCGGCCCCTATATAAAAGCCTGGCGGAAGAGCTCCGTCTTTCAGGCCCTGCGGAATTACTTAAACTATTTTTGTAAGCACAGTACGCATACAGGTTTTTGGGTTTTTTGGATCATTTTTTGAACTAACCTTACCTCACAGACAGAAACTGGGCGTGATTGGTTGATCAGTAACTCATATCGGGGATACAGTAAGCTTCTGTATGGCATAAGGATTTGCCAGATCTGGATTGAGAAATTCTTAAGAGGTTTGGGGGATGGTGGGGTCTGGGAAGGGGAGCTAGTTCAGCAGAGTTATAATGCCACAGAGTCCACCCTCCAAAGCAGCCATTTTCTCCAGGGGAACTGAGCTTGGTCACCTAGAGATACAAGCTCAGTTAGTTCAGACAGAAGTGGGCTTCAGTTGTCTATGACCTGGGCGACCCCATCTGCCCGTCAGATCTGGGCCAGGTTTTCAGCCTACGCTAACTCTTGCATCAGCATCAGAAGAAGAAGAGGAGGAGGAGGAGGTTGGGTTTATACCCCGCCCTTCACTCTGAGTCTCAGAGTGGCTTCGGCTTACAAACTCCTTTCCCTTCCCCTCCTCACAACAGACACCCTGTGAGGTAGGTGGGGCTGAGAGTGCTCTTTCCAGAACTGTCCTCAAGAGAACAGCTCTTATCAGAACTACGGCTTGCCCAAGGTCATCCGGCCAGGTGCAAGTGGAGGAGTGGGGAATCAAACCCAGTTCTCCCAGATTAGAGTCCGCGCACTTAACCACTGCACCAAACAGACAAAACAAACCAATCGTTCGTCAGAGACAACTCTACAGTTGGACAGCCAGTGCTGATTAACTTCTGATGGATATGCCATGAAGATCAAGGCCGCCAGCAAACTGAGGACGACTAGAGGAAACAGGCTAGGTGCTGAGAGCCAGTTTGGTGTACTGGTTAAGTGCACGGACTCTAATCTGGGAGAACCGGGTTTGATTCCCCACTCCTCCACTTGCTCCTGCTGGATGACCTTGGGCAAGCCGTGGTTCTGATAAGAGCTGTTCTTGAAAAAAGAGCAGTTTCTGTCAGAGCTCTCTCAGCCCCGCCTACCTCACAGGGAGTCTGTTGTGGGGAGGGGAAGGGAGAGGAGTTTGTAAGCCGCTCTGAGACACCTTTGGGTAGTGAAGGGCGGGGTATAAATCCAATCTCTTCTTCTTCTTCTTCTTCTTCTTCTATTAAGGGCTGTGCTCTCGCCCAGGGCACCGACACTTCCCCGTGGATCAGCCAAAAGGCTCTGTGCACCAGACAGCGGCCTCAAAAGTGAGCGGACTGGATCTGCAGCCGCCGACTCGTTGCAAGTCGAATCGGTCTTCTGCACTCGTTCCTAAGAAAGGAGAGGAAAAGGCAGGGGCGGGACAGCAGGGAGTGCCCGTGAGCTACACACCGAATTCCAGGAAAGCGTACGGCCTGGAGGCTAGGCCCACGCTCGTCGCGTCGTAGGCTGTGGCGAACTCCCACTGCAGCTCCTCCAGGAAGCAAAATGCCATGACGGCCGGGTAGCTGCTGGCGCAAATGCCCATGCAGGCGATTTCCCCGGAAGAATGGAAGCTGGGAATGAAAAGAAAAGAAGCCGAGATCAGCGGTGGGCATCGAACGGGACGCCCAGGAGAACGGGCGGGGGTGGGGTGTGGGGCGTCCTCTCTTTAGGGAGGACTGGTGTTCCATTTAAACGTGCTGTTTGCTTTTGTAAATGGGGTAGATTCTGCTGCCACCAGGAATTTAAGGATTTCCAAACCTTCTCTCTGTTTCTTTTGCTAGTAAGGTGACCTAGAGTCAGGGCTTTTCAGGGATCTATGTGGTCCTGAGGAAAGATAGAACTAAATTCGGGGATAAACTTAAACAAGAGATGATTTATTGAAGTAAGAACAAAATATGAGGTTGGTTATTCTGTTAACTATCTTGAATAAAGGGACTTGAAAATATCTCTATCAAATGTATCACACACACAGTCTTTTTCCTTTACTTTTAGTTTGTGTTGACACTCAGTTCCAACATAAACAGGAGTCACTCTTTCACAGGGCTATTTTTGGGGCAGGAACGCACAGGAACGGAGTTCCGGCTGGCTCCCAAGTTGGCCACGCCCAGCAGGGACTCATTATCATAATAGGCCACACCCAACAGCAGACACTCATTAGGATTGGCTACATTAGGGGTGTGTGGCCTAACATGCAAAAGAGTTCCTGCTACAAAAAAGGCCCTGGGTTTTGACAACAAACAAGGTAAACAGAATAAGAAGGGAAAGGTGGGTGTGGCTGGATGAGCACACTTCTGGTAACATGGGGGTGCGTCCTAATGTGCTAATGACCTGTGCTGGCAGGGGTGTGCCCTAATATGCTAATGGGTTTCTGGTGTTGGGTGTGGCCTATTATGCTAATGAGTTCCTGCTGGGCTTTTTCTACAAAAAGAGCCCTGCTTCTTTCGTATAGTCAGCCACACAGGCTAAGGACATATATACTGCTCTCTTTAAGAACTCACTCAGAACTAACTGAACACTCACTGACTTGACTCTCTAACTGAACAATTCCAACTGATTTCCAACTGTCTCTCATGACTGACACACCCACACAGATTCACTTCAAAAAACCCCTCCCACACGCTGTCATCCACCAATCACCGCACATCTGTCTCTCTCAATCACTCTAGTCTACTAACCATGCACTCCAACCAAGCATTTAAAGACACACACACTCACATAAAACAAGGAATCATTACAGGGGGTATACAAATATTTTGAATAAATTTTAAATAAAAAAGTGGGACAGGACAGTGGAGGGAGAAAGGATGCAAAGGACCCCGTCAAAACTTTTGTCCTTAAAACCTGACATTACAGGAACCTGGACCAGTTGCTGTACAAAGCACAGGATTAGCGCCCGTGCGGAAAATATGCCGCTCTTGAATCTTAGACTCTTGTTATTTTTAATCTTTCTCAATACGCAGGCTGCTTTCCAGAGCTAGACAGTAGGCCCATTGTCCTTCTCAGAAACCGCGTCCCCTGATGTGTGCTTACACCCGCCCGGGCCCAGAAAGTGACCCAGTGAGAAAACAGAGAGACGTGTCGAGAACATGGCAGTCATAAGCTTTATGTAACGTTAAAACCAAAGCTCGTGTTCCAAGCTCTCAAGTGCAAAGGGAACTCTGAAAACGTGCAGACAGAACAATTATAACTTTGAAGAGGAGGGAGAATGGGATCTCTCCACAAAGCCTCCTCAAGTTCTAAGATTTGTAGATTGCCCCGTTGGGGCTGTAAGAAATTGCTGGACAGTATGGCTTAAGAAGAAGAAGAGAAGAGATTGGATTTATACCCTGCCCTTCACTACCCAAAGGTGTCTCAGAGCAGCTTACAAACTCCTTTCCCTTCCCCTCCCCACAACAGACACCATGTGCAGCAGACTGAGAGAGCTCTTGACAGAAACTGCTCTTTTTCAAGAACAGCTCTGACAGAACTACGGCTTGCCCAAGGTCATCCAGCCAGGTGCAAGTGGAGGCGTGGGGAATCAAACCCGGTTCTCCCAGATTAGAGTCCAGGCACTTAACCACTACACCAAACTGGCTACATCAAACTGGCTACACCAAACTGGTTTCTCATGAGAACAGCCCTACTGGATCAGACCAGCGATTCATCTAGTCCAGCATCCTATCCCACACAGTGGCCAACCAGTTCCTCTGGAGGGCCAACAACAGGAGGACATAGAGGCCGAGGCCTTCCCCTGATAAGAGCATCAGAAGAGCCCTGCTGGATCAGACCAATATAGTCCATCTAGTCCAGCCTCCTGTCTCACAGTGGCCAGTCAGTCCCTCTGGAGGGACAACATCAGGGCAGAGAGGCTGAGGCCTTCCCGATGCTGCCTCCTGGCTCTGCAATTCTTACTGTTCCCATCAACTCTTGGAGGATAAGTCTATCAGTGGCTACTAGCCATAGTGCCAGGCAGCTAGCCATGGTGACTAAAGGGAACCTCCACGTCCAGAGGTAGTCAGTCTCTTAATACTAGTGCCAGGAGGCAACATCAGGGGAAAGTCTTGGCTTCAATGCCCTGTTCTTGGCCCTGCAGAGGAACTGGTTGGCCTCTATGCAAGCCAAGATGCTGGACTAGATGGACCACTGGTCTGATCCAGCAGGGCTCTTCCTATGTGTTTATAAGTTTCTATTAAATGATTGTACATTCACTTTATATTAAAAGTTGAAATGTTTTAAGGTTTGATGTTCACTGCCCTGGGGGATGCCATTTGTGTGGAAAAGCAGCACAGAAAAGATTTAAATAAATAAATAAATTAGAAAAAGTTACACAAAATAATCAGATACTTGCAAATATTCCCGTTTCTTTAGGCTGCGGAATGCAAGTTTTCCTGGTATAGAGTCTGGAATTGCTTTGGTTAGCATTTACTTTTTATTTTGTTAGAATCATAGAGTTG